TAAAATAAGGGTGTCGTCATTCTGCTACATTCTGGGAATTAGGCGCACAGAGCAGGACTGGCTGTCATGTGTCGCTGTCCCAGATAAACGTCTGCCCATTGATAACTAATTTATTATGCTTCAAATAAACCCGGTTTTCTCTGTTTTGCGTTTTATCTTTCGCGTAGGTCCAAAGTTGACGCCGCTTTTATTGAACTGGGAGACTGAAATCTTCTGAGGCGCCAAACGGGGTGTTTTTAAACCTAAAGGCATTTCGCTTCACATTTTTTCTAGCTTTCCAACGAGCAAAACTAGCAACGATTGTCCGATTTTTTTCATATTTGAATGATCCTACGCGGTAAGCAATTAGATCGGAACGCCGTCCATAGGTAACGTTTTTTCTTTTGCAGATGCGCGTGATTTATTTCTCAGATTCTTCCCAAGTTTCTTTTCGCGAGTTGTCTGGAACACCAAAGAATACTAGGTTTGACCGTCGACTTCTATTTTAAAGGTCGTCTAATTTGGCCTCAAGTGTCAGCTGGCTTTCTTCAACATGCGACGCTCGTGTTTCTAGTTTGTTGGGCCTTTGAGATTACGCTGTCAATTTTATTATCAAGATCAGTTTGCTTTCTTTCTATGGCTGTTGACACTGTTGCCGGCGTTGCTTTCAGAGCTCAATCAATTCAAGCTTCCGCCATGCTCTTCAGAATCCATCGACTTGTTGTTCGCCAGGTAATGACGTCGCAAGAGGGAACCGCAGGAGGGCGCGACCAAAACGTCTCGCCGCTGATAGTCACCGCCGGCTTAAGAACGCAGGGCGTGCTGAATCCCGATAATTTTATTATCGTTCTACATTTTGGCATCAGCAGACCAGAACACCGGAAAACAAATAGCAAAGCAAGCGCAGCGTGATCATTTTAGGCTACACTTTGCGTTTCTTAAAAAGGATACTGAATTGAAAATTGGAGTATGCCTCTCACATTCAGGAATAAGTTATGCACAATCAGCAAAACGTGCTTACAATTGCGCGTCTGCATTCTGAAGGGATGGCTATATTTCTCGTTCCAAACGGCCGATTCCAGCGAGCTCTCGGAGAGTAGCCATCGGAGAGCGTGATGTGTTGCGGTAGTTCCGGCGCCTCCAGTGCGTTCGTGACGTCATGTCTAACGTCACGGGCAAGGATACAAAAAGGCTGGCGTGGTTGTGACCTTCGCTATTTGGTGGCGCCAACGCGTTACAACCAGGCTGTTCGGGATGGCCGATGACTGGTACTGCAATGCCATCCAAGGCGAAGAAGTGAATCATCTGCTTTTCATGCCCCCCTTCCAGCTCCCGGCAGGAGATAAACAGGCGCGGGAGACACCGCCTGTTCTTTAACATGTGGTGTCTTTTGTAGGGTATTATGGGATACCGGTCGTATGGGACGCACAATTTTGAAATTCTTATAATTACCTCGAAGCTCTGCTTTCACTGGGAGGTCTGGTGGTCAGGACTTACCTATTCTACTACACAAAAAAAGCTCGAAAACCATTTTTCTCTTCAGCTACACTATTTTGTTTTTTGCTTTCGTTTTTTTCCTGTTAGTCACAAGACTCATTTTGAGTTAGAAACACCAAACTTGAATTTATTCCTTCATTGTCTGGTTATCTTGGCCCTAATTCGCCAAATAAGTGCCAAAATTGGGCTTCACTGCTGGCACGTTTACTGTCATTTTGCATCTTTTGACCTAGATCGCCAGCTTTGCTCCTGGATTTTTGGTTTTCACGTGGCAACTTTGTGCCTAAAGTGCCAAAGAAATGCCAGGTTTAGGCGTTATCGTCAGTAGTTTGGCTGTAATCTGGTATTTTTGGTTTAAGTCTGGCACTTTGGTATTTATGTGGCGAGCCAGAGAAAAGCCGTACAAATGCCAAAGAAAGGTATTCTGGCACTAACACCTTAGTGCAAACCAGCATTAGGCAGAACTTAGGCCCATGGGATTTCCAAGCTTGTGCCAAGTTAGCCATTTCCCTTGCGCGCTACGTAGGCAGAGCCCCGTCAAGCGTGCTAAATGATTCTAGCTGAAGACAAGGAGGAAGGAGGGGTACAATTAGAATAAGTGCACGTCGCTGTCGCGATTCCATCAGAAAAGCTGAAATTTCGACCTAATTAAAGTTGCAAGTATTTTCTCCTTTCCCATTTTTACACCTCCCAGATCTCATCTGGAATCTTTATTCGTTGCGAAGATGGCAACACCTTGAAATATTTTGTCACTCGCTTGACAAGAACCGAGATTAGCTTTATGCACCCTGATTACCCTGGCACAACCCGCTGAACTAAACACTTTCTCAATCGCTACAAGGAAGAGCTTTGTTGTTGTGAGGTTCGCATATCTTTAAGCTAGAGTCTTCACTTTGTTTTGGGCTGCCGCGAGCGCAGGTCCGCTGCAGAGAAGAGAACCAGGCGAGCTGGTAAGTCGTCGGGTTTCTTGGTGTCCGCTTTCAAAAGTATTTCCTCCAATGTTGACTTCGAGTATTTTGGACATTTAGGCTTCAACATTTCTGGTTTTGGAAAACAGTTGTAGTGAGTTCTGAGAAAAGAGCTCTCATGTTATCCCTAAATTAGATCCTAAAAGGGCCGTAATTATACATAAATGTTTTTGTCTTAAAGTATTCCTGCTTTCAGACTGATATATGCATAGCTTCTTTTTGCGGTTCAGAGAGATTAGCAACTTATGAAGAAGAAATACAATGGAGAAGCTAGTGTGAGCTGAATATATATTTTTTTTTCAGTCACCGTATGCTTTCTTCTTGTAGACGGAAATTCAAACCGAGTGAAGATTGAGCGTTCAAATTAACATTTTTGCATTATGAAAGGTATGACACGTCACCAGCGAAATAATATACAAATAAGAAAATATTTCCAGCTTTCACGACTGTGTGTACAAAATAAAATTATAGATATACAGTTTTATCGGTGAACTAGACTGCAACTTCGGCACTGAGATGTGAACAATTAAAACCTCAGATGATGCATAGTCAGCGACACTTTAAGAAACCGGGGTCGTGGCGACTTCCGAGCACCTTATCATCAATCTGCAGCCAATGTGATTGCAACATTAGCCGATAAGAACGCTTCTTGCGCATGGGATTGCATTGGCGTCAGAACACCAGACTCTGATTGGCTCTGATGGAGGGATAGTGGGTCTACCTGAAGTCTACCCACTATTGTTCCAATCGGAGCCAATCAGTGCTCGGCGTTCTGACGTAACCGTAACCCCTGCTCAAGAAGCAAACGAATTTGCGCTCCGCATACGAAAGCAAGAAGAGTGAATATAATTAACATCGCCCTGCATTTCTTAAGCTGTCAACGGCTATAGTGTAATGCGGCCAGCTGGAAGCCTAAATACAGCGCTGTTCTGTGCCTCAGTAATCGTATTTGATATCATCGGTGCGTAACGTGGGCTCGTGGCGCGGGACTCAGGAGGCGACCATTTTGAACAATCGAGTGATCGGTTCGAGCGGTCATTAATTGCATTGTTGAATTCCCAGCTTCTTGTTTCCGTCAGAAGTTCAAACTACTTTTAATGAGAATGGAAACCATTTTGCAATATTCTTGTAAACACATATAGACCTCATCTTTTGGCATTGAGAAATAATAAATTTGCGTGACACTGTCTGGATATTTTATAGGTAGCTATTTTGACTTGACATTCTTCAGTTCTTCTATAGGTGACTCTTCAACTTAGTGTTTCTTTGTCAAAACACAGAAGCTCTCTTTAGCACGATGCCTTTTATGTTTTTGGTGCCTTCGTTTTTCATATGATAGCCAGACATTCAGCTGTTATTTTTTTCCCTACTAAGATTCGAGAGTATTGAAGTAATGAAGGATGAATATTGTTTCTGACGAAAGTCGCATTATCAATAGCGTTAGAATCAAGGCAGTTATAGCAAACTACAGAGAGAACAGCAATGATTGTAACAAAAATAAACACGTTAACATGTGGTATTGGAAAGGGAGATGGAAACTTGCAAGATGGCGTAGGCGACTTTTTGCTTCACTGTTCCAGATAGGGTTGTTTAAAATACCGCTATTCGTTATTATTGACATAATCGTGACCTCAAAATATATAAAATTTGAATATAACGTGCTCTATTAAGTTTTCAAACATCAGCAGTTGAGGTTTGAGGATATTGATGCATTGTCAGGTCCACGGGACGTTATTAACGTACCAGTAACAATATAAGAAAGTTTATTAAAAAATAACATGACTAAAATCAGAGACAAAAAGTACAGAAATGAGACAATCCATCAAGAAAGCTGGTTTTTCAGCTCCAACCAGTGGTGCTGAAGGTTTCATATGAGGATGAAAGTTCGTCTAAACGCTGCGCTTTTGCGGGTTACTCGTACAGTCCGCAGCCAATATAAACATGATTCGCTTCAGGTCCAAATATAGCTGCCACGTTGAAACTCGTGCCATCGAATGAAATCCCCAATAACGAGGTATTCATCCGATTCCATCTCGCTTGTGCCTTCTTCGTATACCACGAAGCCTTTCTGGAATTACCAGCGATCACAACGAAAAAGAAAAAAAGAAAAAGAGAAAAATAGAAACGGAAAAGGAATTTGCGGCCGTCGTCGAAATTCGATTCAAAATGAGCTTCATCGCATCGGAAACACGCCACCAACGAAAGGTCACGTGATCTGCTGCACCATTCTCTGCGAGAAACCCTCAGCCTGCAGCGGCGCGTCCCTCGGTGCCATCGATTGTAGGTGGCGCTGGCATCACCACCTTGCACCATGCCCAATCTCGCTCCAACAGAAGAGAAGTTCGGGGAGGGAAGGGGGGACAAAGAATAAGAGGAAATAAGTGAAAGAGAAAGAGGGGGCTCCTATAAGAGCGATAAGGAAGGGCTTTCGGGCCCCCGTTGCGAGCGCGTAGTCCCCTAGTGACGGTAGCAGAGCTCTCTTTCACCGAAATGGAGGCGACATCGATGAGACGGCGAAAACTTTTTCAGAGCAGACGTTGTTGCAGTACTCCGGCGATGGCGAGCCTGTCCGACTTCCCCGATTCCTTCATCGACGAGATCAAGGTGGGGACCATTGTGTTGATTAGGTCGTCCCTTGTTTACAAACTTTTTATGAATGTATCTAATAAACATGTGAAAACATACATGATGAAATAGGAACGTATATACACATTATATAATTTATATACGTTAAGATATGCTTATTGGACAAATCATATTACGATTTCTTTTTTTATTTTGACTAAATGGTATATATGGTTTTTGGTGTGTCATCAACATTATACAACATGCCAGATTTTGCCATCGCACTTTTTGTTACCGGATACTTTGTTTGATAACGTAATTTTATTAAATAGTTCTAAAATCCAAATAGGTTTTTTATGTATTTAATTATTTTACCCGTATTTCTTAACTTCTTTTATGGCACACCTTCAAGAAATAGCAGGACGACAATATCTAGGAGTGAAACATTTTGCACAAGCATATTAACAGTTCCTCGACGAGATTTAACCAGTTGTCTTGTTTTTGTGTATATTCAAATTTACAGCCTTTCAAATTCTAATAAAAACGACTTTCTATGTAATCCTTAAATAAAAGTTGCTTCCTGTTCGTGTTTTCGAGACCTGTTGGTCTCCAGATTTGACGCCCATTCTTACTTTTTTTTTTGTTTCGTTCTGGATTCTACAAAGTAACTTCTTTTACAACTTGAAAATTGCGCGCGTGTCCTTTTTTTTTGAGTATTTCACGGAGAATTTGACGTTTTTTAACTGGATGGGTATACTTATCCTTTTATTATTTAACTTCCCCAGGTTCTCAAGTTAAGAGTCTCAAAGTTCAAAGAATCTACAAAAAATAGTTTCGCTTAAATCACCTTGTTTATTGTGTTCTTGCTAAGCATAAACCTCTTTGCAATTTATATCGTATGACAAGTTTTCTGTTAACTTTTGAAGGTATCAGTTCGATGCTGCTTTTAGAGGACTCCATAGAACCTCTAGTAATATAAAATCTTCTCTTGAAATGGCTTGACTGTGAAAAATTATTAGAAAAAGAGTTGTTTATTGAAGTTAATTAAAAACGGAAGTCAAAGGCAAGCATCTGAAGAATATTTTGAAACTATTTCGTCTGTTGCTGCGCGTAGTTACATTGCTATAAATTATTATGGATGCTCCAGTGTTAAATGGAAACAAAGGTCTGAAAATTTCAGGCGCTAAAAATAGCAGAGAAGACAGAGGCGAGCTAGTGAACTATCAATTTTTTTTTAAATCCGAGACATATAAGCAACAAAATATTTCTGCCTTTAATTTTTTAAAAATAACATTCGTTTTACTGAATATGTCGTTTGACAAGAAAACAAAAAAGAAAAGCTTATTTCTTGTTTTTTTGAAATAATTTTTTTTATGAATGTGCTACGTCGAAAGATGCCTATCCCTATCCCAGGTGTTTATCACTGTTTTTGTGTGAGCAGCGCCGTGTAGTATTGAAAAGGTACTGCGTCGTCTATCTGTAAACCAGTCGGAATTTGGCGGTGTTCAATTCGTTTAAAAGTTTATATTTGTATTAACTTTGAGTGTATTTTATGTTAATTAGGAGTATATGAGACATTTGGTCAACACATTTTGATATATTTTATGGAATGAACATGTTTAGGCTACAACATGAAATATTACTTCCCTTCTCTGGTTACGTGTCGCATCTTGAGTTTAAAATTCCGAACTTTATATGTAATTGTGATATTTTCTTATGTCAAACAGATATGCAGTGCATATACATATGTGCGATTTAGTATCTCACGCTTAGGAAGTACGGTCTATTTTGTGCACATACGGGCTCTTTCGTAAAAGAACGAGCATTTAGTGGCGTGTAAGGACGAGCATTTTGTGGCGTGTAAGGCTTCAAATGCATTAGTAATGTGTTTAGGTTTCATTTCTATTTGCAGTGATTCATGCCAGGTTACTTAGACTTTTCCCTCGTGACTTACGTTTGTCCGTGAGTTTAGATGTTACGTACTTCTCCGTCAATACATAAGGCGAAGCTCACACACTTTTCAAATCACCCCAGTGCCAAGTAAATAAATATTGTAAGGATAAATATTGTTACTTCACTTGCTTTTACGCTCAGATATTGTGGTAAGTACTAACATTAAATAGAAAACTTTCCATTGGCCAAAATTCTGCTCAGCAAAGCGCCTGTGCGAAGTCCCGGTCAAAACGCTCATAGCACGAGATTCGAGTCTTAATAGCGGCCATACAAACAATATATTACAATTTCTGTTGGTAGTTCCTGATAGACTACTATACTAACTAACTGTGAATAAAAAATGAAAAAAATAAAAAGTGGGTTTTTTTAGAAAATCGACTTCAAACTTGCTAGTTTTTCGAAATATTCGTTTTTCAGGCACATGTAGCGCAATATATACTTGTGGCAAAATATTCAAATTATAATCAAAAGAAAGAGCATAATTGGCGCTTTACGGTGATATAAAGATTATAAAAGTATGTTGATTAGGTCACACAGCACAGCTTGCTGAACTTCGTCAAATATCGTCACAGAGAGGCGGTTTGACAAATAAAAAAAATCATTAAGAATGTTATGACCTAGACGCTTAATTAGCATGAAAAAGCCTATGTCTAGAGTGTTCCCAAAAAGTTATATTGATGTAGCGTAAAAAGTAGGGAAAAGGGATGGAGTGAAATATGGCACCTCCGATAGGCTGGAAAAACATCAATTTCCTCCTTGACCGCTTCAACGGTCCATAACTTGAGAACAAATAATCCGACGAAATAACCGTTTGCGTCTTCTTTTATTATAGGAATTGCCCCAAAACATATATTTTTTTCGTCAAAATTAAAAATTCGACCCTAAATCCGTGCCTGGGTTGAGATGAAATCACCTTGAGATGAAATCACCAGCCTTGTTAACTGGCAAGTTCCCAGATAACATGAAACTCGCGAAAGTTTCCGTTTTGCATAAGGGAGGTGATAAAAATGTAATTACAAATTATAGGCCAATATCTGTTTTACCCATATTTTCCAAAGGGCTGGAAAAAATTATTTTGCGTCGTTTAGATAACCTTTTTGATAAACATTCAGTGCTGACTGACTTCCAGTTTGGCTTCCGTAAGGGAAAGTATACGGAATGCGCCTTGTTAACGCAGAAGTAACTAATATTAACAAAAGATATAGAGCAACGACAGATGACACTGGGACTTTTTATTGACTTTAGCAAAGCTTTCGACTCTCTTAACCATGCAACGCTTCTTGATAAACTTTCCTGTTATGGTGTACGGGCATGTCTTTGGCACTCATTCAGTCATATCTACAACATCGCAAACAGTGTGTCTCAATAAATGGTTATACCTCATCTTTGCAACTATTGAAGTCTGGTGTTCCGCAGGGCAGCAGCATACTTGGCCCACTTCTGTTCAATGTGTACATAAATGACATCGTCAACATTTGTCAACACTCACGTTTTATAATGTATGCATATGATTCTAGTATTTTTATTTCTGCGACGAATATCGATGAACTGATTATTAAAGGTAATGTTATCTTAGAAAAGTTTCATTTATGGTCAGAAAAAAATGGCCTCGAAATAAATACTACCAAAACAAAAGCGATTGTTTTTAGACCTGTAAATAAACATATTGATGCTGGTTATGGGCTCTTAAAATTGGAAACAGGGAAATTGAAATAGTAAGTCATCATAAAACGCGAGGCATAATTTTTTCAGAGTTTATGCAATGGGATCATCATATAGCATTTCTAACGCACAAACTGGCAGAGGTAGCTGGCATCATCGGTCACTGTCGCTCTCTTTTGCCTACAAAAGTTAAGATTCAAATTTATAATGCTCTGTTCGGCTCACAAATCAACTACTGCCATTTAGTTTGGGGCACAACGACCAAAAGTAACGTCAACACAACTAATAACTCTTCAGAAAAAAATTATTCGTTTCATTGCTAATGTTCCGTACGACACACATGCTGAACCATTATATTTGAGCTACAATATCATGAAAGTTTCTTGTATTTATGACTATCGTTTGATATTTTCTTACGCCTTCTCAACTTTGGAGTTTATTGCTTTTTTGTCACAGCTAGCAAACCTGACTGAGCGTGAATCAGTCCTCGATGTTCGTCGTAGAGAATTCTGGAAGGTTCCCCATTTACCTACAAATTATACACTGCAGTCTCTTGCTCATAATCTACCTACATTGCTTAACAACATTGTAATGAACCGCATCGATATTCATTGTAGAGCTAAGAAAACATTGCTTTCTTTTTGTGTTCTTAAATTAAGAAAAAACTTATTCTCCAGTGTCGGTGATTTTAAAATTTTATAGGAACGTTTTAAATTGTTTGATTTGAATATTGTAAGAAATATTTAGGATTGTTTAAATATGATTGTGTTCCCTGTACATGCAAGGACACCGGACCCAGTCAAGCTAGCTTCTGTTAGCTTTTTGTCCGGTGTCCTCGGCATAATGTTGCTGAAATAAAGTTAAAGTTCAAGTTCAAGTTCAAGTTCAAGGACAAACTCACAAAACCTTTCGTGACAAGAAAACCACACGCTGGATTTGGAGAAACTGTCCACACTGAACTACAATAAGACTCTTCTGACATCCCCATCAATTTTTCTTAGCGTTTCATTTTACAAGACCGAAAACATTTGATATTCACTGGTATATAATACAAGTTACATAACATGAAATTCAAGCCTCGAGAATGCAGTATACAAAATGTAAACAGAACATATAAAACACTGCATGATTACAATCACCATACACATTGGAGACACCATAATTTAGAAATAATGCCTAATTTCCAAAAGATCTCAGTCAAGCTTGACATTAATTCGCGACAGATTATCAGCTATTATGCGAATTAAGCACATAAAAAATGCAAAAGCACCCAACGATTAGTACAAGACCCTAATGTAGTTAACTCACCAACTTCGAGGATTGCATGTTAAATCTTTTTCGCGTTCAATTGCTATTTTAAGCGAAAACTTCTCGAGAATTAGTCAATTGCTATTTTAAGCGAAAACTTCTTGAGAATTAGTTTGGTCGATTATTCAGTTTGAATAAGTGGGACAAATTATCTTAACGCAATGTTATTAAGAAATTATTGACGTTCTTGTTTGGCCTTTACATATATTGACAAGGATATGTTACTTTTGTTCTTGTGGCTAAGTTCATCCAAGTATCGAGAAAAAAATTACGTTAACCGATATCAAAGTTCATCCCTTCCCCCAGAATAATAATGATAATAAAAGAAAAAAAAACCGTTAGGAGTGTGAAAGAAAAAAAGATCAGAATTGTGCAGTTTGTTACTATATTCTGTTTCACTTTACAATGGACTGCTGCGGACTCTATGGGTCATCCGAGCCAATCAAGTACTGTCAACATGTCACGTGACTGCGCGCGTCCCTGCGCAACTTCTAAGGTCACGTGGCACTCACACAGCGTTGAAATGATTTCCAAGGCTCCTAGCGTCGTCTGAGATCCATTGTGAGCTGAAACACGGCATAACTCGGTTTCCGACCGACATCCGAACGGCAGAGAAGCATTACGTCTGTCTTACGCTTCTTGTCTTATAGGCAGTCTTTGTGTCAATTAGGGGGTCCTATATTACGGCCGCATTCCTTCAGGCCGTCGAGAAAAAGTTGTATCCCAGGAAACCGACGGTTAAAGGTCGGCGAGTGCAGCAGTCAATGACAGGACTAGGGAATCTGGACCAGGCAAGCTCCCGTCTAGATGGGTCTGAAACGAGGAGCTGACTACGGGTTCCCAATCCGCGGGTTAAAATCCCCCTGCGAGGCGTCAGTAATCGAACTGAAGGTAGTTGAGGTCGTTTCGCTCATCAGAGATCGCAGTTCTAACTTGTTAGAGGTCCCCAAGTGGAATTATGTGTCTTTGAGTCCTTTTAAGGGACGTTTAAGATGCCATTCGTTTTAAGGTAACCCCGTTCCCCAACATTTCTGAAAATAAACACTGTCTTGTTTAAGCGAAGTACATTGTAAGGAAAGAAGTCAAGGGGAGTCAAGCAGTTTCCAATGTTTTGCGCATTTGGTACTTACCGCTATAAAATAAATACCGTAACCTAATAAGAAGACATTTGGAAAGGCAATAAGAACGGGAGGGGGTGCGGCATTTGAAAGCACTAAAAATGAACGTCTTTTATTTCATTTCAAAACGCCGGCCCTGTAAACAACATAAGTTTAGCCATGTCGATTTATATACTTACTAGTCATATTTGGGATTCAGAGAAATCTACCAAATATTTAAGCAATTATTTTCAGGACGAAGTTTACCTTTCTTAAAAAAAGCACGGGATGTCATACCGTACATAACGGGTTACCTAGACTTTTTTTATTAACATATTTAGACTGCCAATAAATATTTGTCCCATATCCAGGTATGCGGAATATTCATAAAATCAAACGAATAGAACATAAAAATAGATACGAAACACTGTTTGGGCTTGGCATTGCTTCAATGCTGAAGGCGTAGCACAAAAACGAATCAAAAGGAAAATCACAAACTTTCTGACGCATTTTCACCTCGTTGAGCTGAAAAGACCACCCCGCGTTTGCCTCCTCGTATTGATGTGTTTTCGAAATTCGCTCTTATCGATCGGTTTCTAATTTTAAACGTAAATATATCCACACGAAGAGGCCCGGATCAAGAGGGACCGCCGTGGGTGGGGATTGTGGTTGGCAGACATCGGAGGGAGAAGAGTACGATAAGGCGTAATCAATTCAGCACGATGACTCCAAGTTGGAAAGGTGTGAAGAGGCACGGGAAAACGCTATTCTCGTCTACGAGGCGATAGTGTGCCTCAAGACAGGAGAATAATGATGCAACGGAGGGCCCTTCCAGCCACCACATTACCTCCCACGCAAAAGCGTATACTGATATTGCAGATTTGTTATATTTTCTTATTTGGGGTTGTCCGTGTAGCGTCTACGGGTACGAGTGAGAAGGGGAAAACAGAATCATAGCCCACACCTATAATAACTTTGAAAGTAGCATCAACATATTTTCATATTAATATGATTCTTCCGTCATTCTTTCTTAGTTTGGCTAAACAAGCTGAAGGATTCACCCAGTTCATCAAGGGCACTCGTTCACCGGAACAAGTGCATTAGAGAAAGATGATTTTGAGCAATCTAGGGCGCATTGTATTACCGGTAGATTCCTGTTCTGTAAAAAAACAAATAAAACAGTCATTATATTAGCTGTATGACACCGATCAATGATGTATAATGATTGAGCGAAAAGTCTAAGTTACAAGTAGCATAACCTAAACATGATTTACCGTTTCGAACGGAGAGGAATATTCTGCACCTCGTGCTAAGCAAGACGTATAGATAAATTTTATTAAAGACGACGGTAAGGAATTAAAAATGGTAAATTCCTTCTTCTTGATATTAGACACGTCGAACTACCTGGATGCCCAAACAAAAAAAGGAATTTAGACATACTGACTGGAAAAACTTGAAAACGATTCCTCTGGATTATTCACGGTGCAGTCAACGTTTTGATAGGAAACTCAACTGACCTGGCGATGCTGCTATGGAAAACGTCAGCAGTCACTGGGATGATTACAGGAGGGTTATTTTAAAGCAACATCTAAATTCACATGCGTATTGCCTTGCTGCGTTAGAACTGTCACACTAAATATTTCCCTTGTGCTCCTGTTTTAATTTGTTTTATTCGCTTCGTCACTATAGTTACAGAGGTTATAATCTGGACACTACGCTGACATTTCAAGCAACAACTCTGTTTACGATGACTTTTCATCGTCGATTTTAGTATCTCAGTATCTCAGTAGTAGACGGAAATCTGTCAGGGATGGTAGTCATAAAGAGTTCTTTAAAAGCGCCTACATACATTCGCGCGTGTATTATAGGTATATTTTGGCTATTTTAGTTCTCGCGTTGTGATTGTGGTTTTGTCAAACTATTACGCCAACGGTAATAGCGAAACATTTTAAATATTGGTATCGGACAACTTTATTTTTTTAAATTGTTTTCTCTTAAAAAAACGAAAAACACCGTTGGAGATAGGGCCAAACTGGGTTATTGACGTCAAATCTCAAAATGTTTAACTTTTTTGACGAAAAGCAATCGCCAAATGTTGGAGCCTGAAACGCGGAAAAACATAAATAAAAACAACTTAGAATTCTCATTTGCGTAACCCCAAGAAAACTACCAGCTTTAGTCATGCTTGGCATAATTTTTATTTTTCGTATTTATGGTCGCTAGCGTAGAATTTTGTTACTTGTAATGCACTATTATAGGGAGGCGTAGGAGCTTATTTTGGTTCACTTATAGCATTATGATATTGAACCAGATGTAAATTTTGACAAGACTAAAATATTTCATATAAATTGCATAACTCTTTTAAATTTCATAAACAGTTGTGACGAACACAATATGATTATCGGTTATGTATCAAATCGCAAATGTTCACGTAACACGTGAACATTTGCGGTAACACGCAACACCTTTCACGTAACACCGCCATGAAGCCATAACCGTCGAGCCAATGCTCGTACTCCCGTTGCAGAGCAAGATAACAGTTGCAGAAAAAGAGCATGAGTTGGATTGCGCTGATGCTGAAGAGAAGGAGGACCAAGAACCAGTCGAAAGCTCGAAGGAGAACTCCGCGGTCGTCTTTTCCCTTCGCAACCAGGTTGGGGCTCTGGTGAGGGCACTTCGAGTCTTCAAGGTATGTCATGCCTTTCACACGGGCACGGTGCCCGGAATGAGTGTTTGACTTGTGGGCTTAGCGTCCTATCCCGCTCATACATCAAAAGTTGTCTACGCCACAGAAGACGTCGTGCCAAGCTGTCGGATGTCGCGATCCTGTCGATTCGAGCTGGAAGTCTCGGCAAAAAGAGTACGAGCGAACGCGAGTGTCGCTGTTTACAGAGCGTTCCAACTGCTGGGCGTTGAAACTTCCGTAGACTGTCGAGCTGGAGAGCGACCTGAAGCAGAACAGGCGTCTGGCACATTTACCGCCGCTGCTGGGACACCGCCAGGATCGCAGGCGGAAAATAACATGACACTTCTATGATTTCATGAAGGGAAATCGAGGTACCACTCTCTTCAACGCAGTAAATACACCAGTCGGAGACGCGTTCCAGGCACCATACTATGCCTGGAAGTAAAACGCTTCTGTAGGCGACATGACGACACCAGAGGTGAAGCCAGGAGTGTGGAGGGACACGCTCCCCAACGGTGACCAAAACCACGGCTGTTTGGGTTTTTACACTGACCTGCTCAAGGCTTGATCGCTTTGAACATTAACGCTGATGTCCACAGTCACTCACCTGTTTTCTGAGGGTACTGCTGAGACTTCCTCAGTCCGCGCATCAAATAGAAACTTTTGTACTTGGCTTCCTCTGCTTTTATTTTACAATGAAACCATCTGCCGCAGGGCTAGCAAGGAAGAAACGGAAACCCTATCAGACAGGCGCGCTCATTTGACGTTTAGGAGACGCTGCCGCAGTTCGTCGCTCTGTTTGCAGTTGGGAGAGTTGCTGCTGAACGCGCTTAATGTTAGTTCTTGTATACTTTGTTTTACCGTAAATCAGAGCGCAGTCAGAGGTCAAGACCATACGAACACGAACAAAAGTACTAAAAGAGCAACGTCACGGCGCATTTCCTACCTTTCATTGTCTAAAGGATGCTGGCGCACGCACAGATAGATGACGGATGCCGTGACGCTGCCTTTTTGGCGTAACTTGATTGGCCTTATCGGCTCGTAGCGTCGGCTGCGCTCTAACGTAAAATGAAACAAAGTATATTTTTGCCTGGGTGGGAGGACGCAGATACATTTGTTCAGAGTTGTGTATTCGCTCTTTCTCGCGTGAGTTGAAACGTGGTGGCGCCAGTGTGCGAATAGCCCCGAATGACTTCCTGTGTTGAGCTAGACGGTGGGTTTCGCAGTATTTTCAAAATCAAATATGCACGCTATCCTCTGGAAATGATCACTTATAACACTGTCTATCAGACTTGATTCGCGCCTTTTATTATAAACGAATGATGAGTAAAATAATTGAAAATATACGTGAAGCGGAAGTGTGCCAGGGCTACCTAGTATATGGGGCATCACTGAGTTGCAAAACAAAAGGGGACGAATACTGAGAGTTTCGTCGATTGGCGGAGCTGATGGCTTATTAAAAACAAATCGACTTCGTGGAAAATGGGTCATGCTATCTTATTGAGAGCCGTTTGTTTGTTAGGAGCCATATGAAAAACACAAAATGTAAAAAGACCCCCCCCCCCCCCCCCCCCCTTTTGCTAGCCTCTCAGCCGTGATTGCTAGACTTTCGGCATCTTCAAAAGACTGCCAAACACTCCCAGTATTTGCATTTTTAAGTATGCCTTCAATATTTGCGAATTGGAATGAGTAAAAAAAAAAAAAAACGTGCGGTGCTAGCCTTGTTACTAGACTAGGCACTATCTGAGTCACAGTTAGCGGGAACATGGCATAGCTTGACATCGGGTGCTATCAGAGCACTCTAGCGACTTGCGGCGCGCGCCACTGAAGGGCATCCGCATTGCGGCAGTTGCAATTTCGTACCGGGCAGTTAGAGCGCTTTGATAGTGCCCGATGTCAAGCGTTGCCGTGTTCCTGCTAACTGTGATTAGGCTAGTACTTGAGGTTTAGTCATCATTTAGTGGTTGAGGAATGTTTTCAGTATGTCCTAATGTTTTTTTATCCGAAGTATCGCCTTGCCCATTACATATATATATACTTTCCTCGGGGGCGGGGGGGGGGGGGGGGGGAGTTGGGGCTTTTGGTTGCCAAATTTTAAAATCCTGCCACTCAAAATATTTCTTTCTGAGTTCCTGTTGTCAATTTGTGTTTCTTAAACGGTACTGATGGGGCACTACGTGCCCAAGTGGTTAACTCAACTTGATTGGATTTTGTTGTTTACAGGAGAAGAACGTAAACGTCGTTCACATTGAATCACGAAAATCGAAAGTGAATCCAGCGCAGCACGAGATCTTTGTGAGCGTTGATTGCGACGAAGGTCACATGAACGACGTCGTACATGCTCTCAACCACGAGGTGGATTGCATTCAACTCAAGGAGTACTATTCTTCGAACGGAAAGTCATTGGATCAAGGCGACGAAAACGCGTCGTGTCAAGCGAACCCGCCCGCTGGGACCGAGGAAGAGTCGATGGTGTTTTCGGACCTTCAAGCAGGTTAGCAATTTTATGAACTCTGATGAGCTAGTTCTGGACCATTTTGGTTGAAACTAAGGCGTAACATTTTTAGAAGTTCACATCTACAACCAAACACGAAGATAACCTATAAAAAGGTTTTACACTTTCATAAACTAAATTTCCATAAAAAATACATATTCTAGTATATTCTGATTTTTAATTTTTTTTAAGTGTTATCTATATTTTTTATTTTCCGCAGGATCCGGCAGGTGGCGAATAGGACGAGCGAACGATAACATTTCGCATTTTGGAACAAAATATTAGTAATATACTATACAACGACATGCCAGTATAGAAAGTAAATCGAAGACGAATCGATAAATTCAGATACTGCGGCTACGTCACTATTTGTGTATATCCAACATCCAGAAGAATGATGTTGAATTAAAGAGAAGTCGTAACAGGAGACATACCTGCCTGCTCTATTATAATTCTTTACATTATCAACAAGCAAGCTCCAGGGATGGAAGGTTTGTTGTAGAGGACCTTATTGAGAGACTAACATATCTCGCAGACCTTGAATAAATTTTTCAAAAGCGGGATAACAACCTGCAGGAGATATGATGTATGATGTCATCGTTATGAAAACAACCCACTAAGCTATAAACATTCAGTCTGTGCAGCGAAGGAATGGCTACAGGAAAGAGGACAGGTAAAACTTTCGGCTGCGCAAAGATCGCCAAAGGAATAGAAGACATATTTTTTGCTTTGTTTGATGCGCTTATTTGAGCTACTTGCTCTTGAGAACGACTCGTTGTAATAGTTGGTATTTGAAGCTTTCAAGGAAAGAAAAGCTGTTTCTCTTGTCTAAAGCGCCACAAGACAAGGGCATAAAGTAAGAGACACAGCACAAGCGCTACTTTATACTGACTGTTTATTGAAACAACACAACCTTGTCCTTCCTTGTCCTTGTTTTGTGGTGCTTTGGTCAAAAAGAACGATATACGAAATGGCCCATCTCTGACTAATAAAAGATATCACGTTTATCAAATTTCATGCTTCAACATTTGCTTGAGTTCAAGTCAGAGTTCCAATAACTTTTGTCGGGTAGTACCACAACCGCTTTAAGAAAAAATATACAGAGAGGACGAAACCCGTATAAAACATGTTTTAACCTCAAACGTGCGAAAAATAAAAGGAAGGGTAGCTAACCAAAAAATATAGTGTGTATAAACGAATTTAGTTTGTATAATTTCACAAGTTTAATAACGCCCTGCAACGCTTTTTGTGGTGCAGATTTGGCTGGAATGCCATGGTTTCCAAGAAAGATATCGGATCTTGATAAGACTTCGAATAAAGTGCTCATGTACGGAGCTGAACTAGACGCTGATCATCCGGTAAGAAATAACCAATCAATCAATAAATAAATTAATAATAAAGTTTATAGATACATATATGAGCACACACATTAATTGTAAAGTCATGACCCCAGAAATTCTTTAGAACCGTGGAAGAGGTCCTTTAATTCTAATATGTGTTGTTAACAAGCTCGATGCACATGTATATTTATCTGTGGTTACACGTTAAAAATAAAGGGTCTCATTTTGCATGTCAGGCTTAGTAATAGTTCGCACTATAACTTGAAAAAATAGTAAGCCCGACTTAGAAGTTAATAAAACTTGTTACAGTTTTTAATTAATGGAGAATTAACACAGATGTATAAGATAATGAAGTTGAGCGTGGAAAAATTACTGCAGAGACGTTCCAAGCGTAATGTTTTGAAAATATTTTTTTTTTAAATTTTGCCAGCAATTGGTTGCAAGTAAGATGCTCCTTATGTTTCACGTTATAAAGTGTAAATCAACAAATATATATTGAATGTGTGTTGTGTTTTAATGAACTAAATAAATATAAATGTTTCTGGCTTAATTATATATATATATATATATTTAAATTTCTCCACGGGACTGACGGATGTGTAGAGGTGAACTGTCTCAGCTACATGTGTGTTTATTAAACAACAAGGCGGTGGACAGTCCACAATAACATATCTTACAGTTTGGGGCATCAGAGTACGTTAGGCGTTCGATTTTAGCTGTTTTACAAAACAGCTAAAATTTGGCTTTGGGATCACGTTGTTAGTTCAGATTACTTTGAAGGGCTGTGTGAAAAAAGATCTCAAAGTTTTTTTTATTACTTGATTTGACGGATGGTAACCACAAATTGTCGGTTTATTTACGACGTTTAACATTTTGTTTTGCCAGTTATAACTGTAACATATTACACAAAAAATAGAAATACCAGTAATGTCTTATAGAAATAGCAGTAAGACACCGTAGGGGCTAGCATTCTTATTATTTTATGCCTAGAGTTGTAATAAAAAAATATTCTCCTTGTTCAGAACATTATCATTTTAGACTACTTGTCATGTTTTGTGAATCGGATGCAATGTTGGAAGATTTTTGCCTTGTTGTAAAGCAAAAAATATGCAATAGAGTGTATTAGTTTTACCTGCATAACCAGTTACCTTAACCTGCTGCAAAAATATATTTTTATACTGCGACTATAGTGCACAATGTATAAAACGGTCACTGGAAAAATGTATGCACGGTCATGATATCTGCGAATATTTCCAGGGATTTAAAGACCCTACATACAGACAAAGAAGAATGTTCTTTGCAGATTTGGCGACAGGTTACAAGTCGTAAGTACATTCCTTGTAGGTTGATTTTGTTAAATTTTAAATGCATTATAAAATATTCTCTACCGTAAGTATATTATTACCTTGAATAAAGGGCCTAGATTATTTAAAGTGAAATAATGATTAATTTAGTAGCAGTTTCTTCCCGCGCAGTCATTAGAAATATTCCATGTGGCATCTAGTAGCGTCGTCGACTTAAAAATTGTAGACTTACACAAAATTCTTCTGAAGGCATATTAAAATTTTCTTGCACGTCGTTTAGTGGTTTCTTATTCCTTTTTAATTCGAACCAGAAATTGATAAAGCAATTGGAACAATTCGTTTGTTTGTAGACTTTCTGAAATATTGCATCACTGTTGCTTATTAAGTGTCTTAATTAAAAAAAAGGTTATGTCGGTGTTGCTTATTAAGTATCTTGATTATTACGTATACAAAAATACTCCAAGTTTTATGTTAACATTTACAAAAATACGACACATAATAATTTAAGTATAAAAAACAATTGTTTAGACAATTTCACATGCATTGATAGTACAATAACCTCAATAGTTACTTCAGTTCATTTCCAAGTAAACCATTAATTATTTTTTCTTCATGTTATGCGTTAGCTTTTGGTGACGGTAATGTTCTATTGCATATTTACCGATGCTTTCTAGTGGAGCTTATCAAAATAATATAAAATAAAAATGCACAAAATTAAACATATAATTTACGTAGTTTTCATGTGTTTTATTTATGCACCTTGTTTTCTTATTTTCGTAGAGTATGCCATTAACTTTGATGTGCACATTTCAGCGGTCAGCCTATTCCGAGAGTTGAGTACACGGTTGAAGAGAAAATTACGTGGGGACGGGTGTTCACTGAATTGAGCATGCTCTACACAACACACGCTTGCCATGAGTTTTTGGAGAATTTTCAGTTGCTCATCAAGCACTGCGGATACAGGTAATTACGATGGTTTAAAATAATTCACTACTTACGGCTCCTTAAATATATATTTGATCGATCAACAAATTACGTATGCCGGTTTCAGGAAAGATAACATTCCACAACTCGAAGATGTCAGTCAGTTTCTTAGAGGTAAGTTGGCGTTTTAGATATTTTATATAGAAAAACGGTAACGTTAATTTAAATTCTCCCGAATAATAAGATGCAGATGGGCAAACGTGGTGAGGCTATTATGTGCTGCATCATGACAGGCAGTAAAAATCCGGTTGATGCAGACATGCTCTACATAATACCACTCTTGGGAAGTTGACTAACTGCGTAATAGAAACCTTAGGCCCTTGTTTTGATTTTTATATTTTTTATAAGATAAGGAATGAATACTAAAGCAAAAGATGAGTAGCTAAAACGCATAAATGAGCTTTATTATTTAAATGATCGCGAACACATATACAGAAAGTTTTATACTCCCAAATGCCATAGGAAATTTTTATACTTTTCTGATACCACGTTTAGAAAATATTTCAAGTTAATCTCTGCCGGTTATTTCGATAGCATATCCAATTAACGTTTTGATTGAAATTATTTTTGCAAGATGTTGAAAAAAACAAAACAAAAAATACAAAATGCAGCTTTACTGAGTCTGTAATCCCCCAACCAGAATTAGCACAATATCCTTAATGAAATAGATATACACGGAATATGTTTACATGTTTATATCAACGGTTGACCGGCGCTCGAAACCGACTGTAATATTATCTTCGAGCCTGTGGTTACATTGAAAGGAACGATGGTAGTGCCGAAACCCGCATGTCTAGAAATTGTTTTTTTTTCTGCGTGATTTCGGATCTGTCCTTCACTTTTAACACATTAGACATTGATGTGCATCGTATGTGTCCCTCTAGTCGTTTTTAGCGTTTTCTAACACACATAAATCTTCTGAATTTTGCATTCTTTTCAGAAAGAACCGGATTCCAGCTAAGGCCTGTGGCTGGCTACCTGTCCGCAAGGGACTTCTTGGCTGGAATTGCGTTTCGAGTGTTCCACTGCACTCAGTATATTCGACACGGATCTGATCCATTCTACACGCCGGAACCGTATGCCGTTTTATATGTTTAGTATAACATAAAAAAACTAATTAAACAAACTGATTGATTTTCTAATATTATCGTCTCTTCAGTTGACAGCCAGAGAGAGATTTTTTCAGAACTCATCAACTTTTCAAACTACAAGCTGCATTGATTTTGTTATCTATTGCTCTTTCGAATAATTTTGTAATGAGATACGTGTCATTGCACAACGTTTACCAAACGTAGTAAAACTGCGCTGCGATTCAAATAAAAAAAGAATGCTCGGGTATTAGTTATAACAACGTTCAGTTATTGATCAAGTCCAAAATGTTTGTTTGTCATGCTAAGTAATTTACCTGTGCTTAGCGCAAGCAAAGGACTATTTATATAGTAGCTCTAGAATCTAGAGTTAAAAAGAAAGAAACTGGTTCCAGCTGTCCTCCTTCACTCCAGCGTGTTTTGAATAAATTTACGTTTGAAACTTTAATGTTTTCGCTTCTTTAATGAGAAATTAATTGTAATGCAACCTGAAGCCAATGTTTTGTAGAATAATATATATGATTGTGCAGAACTAATATACTAATCAAAATCTAGCCCAACATGAAAAAGATGTAGCTACTATTTTATTTTTCTCTATTACCTAAAGATAAAGTTTTTACTTGTTTTTAAGGTTGTAATTAAAGCGCCTTATTGTTTTGTGTGGTTACCATAAGAACAAGGTACTGAATAAATTTAACGTTCCCTAAGTACTCCAACAAAGTAATTAACTTAGATGACAATGACGTCTGAATATATTAACAACGGTTGACAATAAATCATACATGGAATTGTTTACATCGCGTAAACATATAGTTTTAATTTGAATTGGTTAACAAAATAGATCACGTCCTTCAGTTTTAAGAAATACCGATGCCACAAATCAACTTGCCGAATATCTATGTGTAAAGCTGATACCTGGTGTCTTTGTTGCAATACTTTAGTTGCACATAAATATAAATACACGGGTATAATTATTTAGGGCTTATATCTAATAGCAAGCTCAGCTAGAACGAACACTTAGAAAAAACATTTAATAAAGCCAGAGGCACTTTGTTTGCACCGAGAAGAAAATTAATATTGGCAGGATGTACTGCAAAGCTCCTAGCCTTTGAAAGCTTTGTTAGATCCAATTTAAATTACGCGAGTTCAGTGTGGTGCCCTTTTACTACGGATGTAATTAACAAAGTAGAGCTTATTGAAACGCTAGCTGCTCGGGTTATTTTTAATGCGTATAATACAAAATCATCATCATCCGAATTAGAAAAAAAAAGCCCAGCTTCCGACTCTACAAACACAAGTTATTATTGAGAGATTGAAAACTCTTTACAAAATCATAGACGGTTCTCTTCATATAGATAGCTTCATTTACTTAAAACCTCTACAGTCCAGTTCCTCACAAATAAATCATTGCCGAGCACTTGCACAATACTGGTTTTAAAATGACTGCTTTAGATTTGGTTTTCCTCAGGCAATTCAGGGATGGAATAACTTAACTAGCGACAGTGTGAGTTTGATGACTTTCAATGACTTTGTAGATGCTATTGAATTGTACTTTAGCTAACTGTTTTGTTTGTGCGGTATTGCCCTTTGCTGTATTGTATTCTGTAAGCACTCCTACAATATCCCACTGAATAAAGCTGATAGTATTCCCAAACAATAAAAAATAATGCCTGCATTATATTCAAATAAAACAACTGTAAATGGTAAAAAAAGACACACCTAAAAATTAAATGTGTCTAAAAACACTAAAAATATACTTCAAACTAAATTTTGGATTTCTTTTCAGGTTGGACTTCACTTTGTTGTTTTATTCATAATTATAATTTTACTTTCACGTAACTCTGATTTCTGTTCCAATCCAGAGACTGTTGCCACGAGCTCCTGGGCCACTGCCCAATGCTGGCTGATCCTAACTTCGCACAGTTTTCACAGGAGTTGGGTCTGGCATCATTGGGAGCTTCGGACGACGAGATTGAGAAATTGGCTACGGTGAGTGGGACTTGGAGTTGATGGAGCGTAGGACGGGATCACGTAGGTAAATATTAAAATCACCGCCACACGTAGATTATATAATTTAGTTTTCCTTTTTGGGTGTGTCGTCATCAACAGACTTATGTTGCTGTCAAAAACTACGCGACTGTAGTCGAAATCCACTTTCATGACCTCCTACCAGCCAATACTGAGTGACATTAGTTTATTTTAATACACGTTGTTGTACAAAACAAAGCGTTGATTAAAACCCCATTCAGAAAAACTGAACGCGTTCGAGCTGCGCCACTGACGTCCTTAGAGACTGATTAACTTCATGCGCTGATTTTGAATGCGAAATAATTAACTACCGTATATACGCGTGTAATGGCCGCACTCGTATAATAGCCGCACCTCTAATTTAAAAAAAAAAAACCCGAAAAAATATATTTAAAATTTACTGGTGTATAGACCGCACCTACAATTTTAGAATCGTAGGTGCAGCCATTTTTTTTCAAGTACTGCCGGCAGATGGCGCCCACCCGGCTGCGGCAGCCAACAACATTGTGGCACTCTGTCCTGTCTGTTTGCGCCTCTCGCTTCATCTCGAACAGTCTCGAACCAAACGTAGTGCATCTCTTTGTGTTTGCGAATACCCCCGGCTTCCCACTGTGACCCACTTCAGGCTTCTGGATGGGGAAGTAGACGAGTTACACGGCCGGCTTTAAACTCAAAGCTATTGCCTTTGCTTAAGATAACAGCAAAAGAGCAGCCGGGTGAAAGTTCGGTGTCGACGACGCCGAGACGCCGGACGCCGAGATAAGTTCCGAAGATGAGTGATTTACTACGGACGAGTGAAAAGGACTTTGCGCATCTGTCTATGCAATACCCATAAATGTTTTCTTGATCTACCAAGGGGTGTGAGTACTTCCATTTAATAAAGGGAAGTAGTGAAACCTTTGGCGGAACAAAATTATTTCCAAAAATCTTTTTCATTTTTCTCCGTGTAATGATCGCACCCCTAGTTCTCACCCGAAATCATAAAAAAAAAATACCTGCGGCCATTACACGCGTATATACGGTATCCCATGGAGCGAAGCCGGCGGCGTCTGTAATCGCGAAGAGATGCGAAAGAAATTCCCATTCTTCCATTGGCCGAGCGAAACGGCTCCTAGAGGTCCATAGGCGGCCGCTTCACGAGAGCGCGCGCTCGGCCGTCGCTCTCGTGTCAGGCGTCGCCAGATGGGGGGGAAGAGGGCGCTGCGGCCGCCGCTCTCGTGTCAGGCGTTGCCGGAGGGGGGGGGGGGGGGGGGGGGTCCTGCGGCCGCTTCACGAGAGCGCGCGCTTAGACGCAGCTCTCGTGTCAGGCGTTGCCGGAAGGGGGGGGGGGTGCTGCGGCAGCTTGACGAGAGCGCGCGCTGGGCCGCCACTCCCCTGTCAGGCTTTGCCGAAGGAGGAGGGAGGGCTGCGGCCGCCATAGACCTTTTTCGCAAGCGCGCCGCCTTCTTGAATTGTCGTCACTTCCAGTATGGGCGAAAACATTGTTTTGCCGTCGCCACGCCGATAGAAGGTATTTAGGACATAAACGTAACCATCAAACATTCTCGTTTTGCCTCCCCCTATTTTTTTTCCCTACTATTTGCAGGTTGAAACGTTTTGATATTTTTTCGTCGCCCATACCGGATATGCCTACTTGGCGGTCGGGGGCGAGAATAAGCGGAAAAGGGCGCTCGGCCGCGGCTCTGGTGTCAGGCGTTGCCGGAGGGTTAGGTGGGGGGGGGGGGGGGGGGGGGGGGGGGGGGCTGCGGTGGCTTCTGCTCCTTTTGGCGCCGAGGAACATGGCGTCCCCTGAAGCATCTATATCGGCGGCGCCTGCAACCTCGGCAGCAGCGAAACGTGGCTGTCCACGCCAGTACACCGCAGACGAACTAAGGGAGCGGAAGAGCGACATTCAGGCTTTCGCATTCACAACTCATAAGAAGTGCTTAGATGTCCTCAGAATTATTTTAGAGCGCAGCTCTTAGGCGCCCGTTTCCGGCTTGAGCGGCGTCGCCGTCGCCGTCGGCGTGACCGCGCGGTGCATTATGGGACGCGTGACGTCACTGATGACGTCACCAGTGACGTCATCGGCATCTTTACTGATGACGTCATCGGCATCCGCATCGCCATCGTCACTGATGACGCCACCGGTGATGATGACGTCATCAGTGACGCCACTGGTGACGCCACTGATGACGTCATCGTCACGTGACCTCATAGGGGTCACGTGACCCCGGTGACGTCACGTGACCTCACGGTTACGCCGTCTGCGACGCCGCTCGAAGGGAAAAGTAGCAGACAGGATGAAAAGTTGAGGAGGAAGGAGGAAGGATATAGACCGACGCGCGGAGCGGCTCTGTTTACCAACACGGCCGGAAGACCGCGCATGCGCGGTAGCTATGTGGGCAAGAGCAGCCCGGCTCTCCGCGTTTTCGTCATTGCGCTCTATGGCGTGCGCTCGTTGTTGACGTTGTAGGAACGCTTGTATCTTTATTTGTGCGTCGTATTTCCTCACAACGTATGTCGTATGCTATGCCCGACTATTTGAGCTCGTTGCCCGAGCCTGAACGGCAGCGGTATCGAAACAAACTGTGCGTGGTCGGCGTTGACTACGAGGACCCGTACGGTCGTATAAACAAGACCTGCTGGACTTCCGACGTAAAGTTGCTGCCACCGACGTCGATGGCTCACGTCGTCGTTTATTTAGTTTTTTCGCCAAGCCAGTTCACGGCCGACACGGTGCAGGCGTACACGTCTCTCGAGGTCTACGATTACTTCGAGTTGGTTTCCGCACTGTCGGCGGGATCAGCAGGCTGTGCGTCCGCGGAAGTGTGTGTATTCATTAATTGATTAAATACACACAGCGCCTTCAAGTCAAGGTATGATATCTTCCCTGCCCTCATGACCACAAGGCATGACAAGCAGTAACGCTTTGTCCGTTCTGCAGTCTTGGCGGTAACAGGTTACAAGTAACGGCGTTGTTGGTAACACGTTACTTTTTTCAGTAACGTAGTAACCCACTCGTTACGTTTTCGACACAGTAACGGGTAACGCACTTACGTTACTATTTCAAGTAACGTAGTTACGTTACTCGTTACTACTTCCTAAGACTTAAAGAAATTACACTTCAATTTTTTACGTGTTTTAGGCGTCAAGCAATGATTTTCTGTGCGTTTTTTCTCGTAAGCATTAAGGTGAAACCGTAAAAAGAGATAAAGTAATTATGTTCAGTTTCTGCATGAACATAATGTCTCTTGATATATTACCTGTATCGTCGAAACCGTAAAATGTGTTAAATCATAATTTAATAAAGTAACGCAGAATCAGAAGTAACGTGCGTTACTTTTTATCGGTAGCGAACGCGTTCCTTTTATTTTTAGGTAACGTAGCTCAGTAACGCGTACCTTTTATTTGCAAGTAACGAGTAACGTATTTCCTTACTTTTTTTCGGTAACGCCTAGACCGACACGCGGAGCGGCTCTGTTTACCAACACGGCCGGAAGGCCGCGCACACGCGGTAGCTATGTGGGCAAAAGCAGCCCGGCTCTCCGTGTTTTCGCCATTGCGCTCTATGGCGTGCGCTCGTTGTTGACGTTGTAGGGGCGTTTGTATCTCTATTTGTGCGTCGTATTCCCTCATAATGCATGTCGTATGCTATGCCCGACTATTTGAGCTCGTTGCCGGAGCCTGAACGGTAGCGGTATCGAAACAAACTGTGCGTGAACGGCGTTGCCTACGGGGATCCGTACGCCGTAAACAAGGCCAGCTGGACTTCCGACGCAAAGTTGCTGCCACGGAAGTCGACGGCTCAGGTCGTCGTTTATTTGGTTTTCTCGCCAAGCCAGTTCACGGCCGACACGGTACAGGCGTACAAGTCTCTCGAGGTCTACGACTATATCCAGTCGGTTTCCGCACTGCCGGCGGGATCAGCAGACTGTGGGTCTGCGGAAGTGTGTGTATTCATTAATTAATTAAATACACACTGCGTCTTCAAGTCAAGGTATGATAGTTGTCATACCCTCATGACCACAAGGCATTAAAACCAGTAAAGGTTTGTCCGTGCTGCAGTCTTGGCGGTAACAGGTTACAAGTAACGGCGTTACCAGGAACGCATTACTTTTTTCAGTAACGTAGTAACCTACTCGTTACGTTTTCGACGCAGCAGCAGGTAACGTACTTATGTTACTATTTCAAGTAACGTAGTTACGTTAGTCGTTACTACTTCCCAAGTCTTAAAGAAATTATACTTCAATTGTTTCCGTGTTTTAGGCGTCAAGCCATGTTTTTCTTTGCGTTTTTTTCTCGTATTTAGGTGAAACCGTAAAAAGAGATAAAGGAATTATGTTCAGTTCCTGCATGAACATAATGTTTCTTGATGTATGACCTGTATCGTCAAAACCGTAAAATGTGTTAAATCATAATTGAAAAAAGTAACGCAGAAGTAACGTGCCTTACTTTTATCGGTAGCAGTAACGCGTTCCTTTTATATTTAGATAACGTAGCACAGCAACGCGTACCTTTTATTTGCTAGTAACGAGTAACGTATTTCGTCACTTTTTTTTTTGTAACGCTTACAACACTGCCGTTCTGCCGCCGATCCCCTTCTGCTCGGTAGCATGGGCGTAGCGAGCCTCCGATGAGCGCTTGGCCGGTGCGTTGTGCGCGAACACCGTCGGAACAAAATCCGGGTGGTCTCGTTCGGACAACGGTTTCCCTGCACATAAGCAGGCCTCGGGACGGAGATTGAAATGGAAGCCGCACTTGCCTCTAAGAAAGTGTTTGCCGCACAAACGGTCGCTCGCGCGAGGCGACCATTCTTTTCGATCCACCGATATTATCCACCTTCTATGCCTTTCAGAGTCTGCCGGGAACTTGTGGAAACTCACTCCGCTGCTTTTCTTGTACATTTCGGTGCAATTAACGGCAACACAGCTTCGCGGCATGCTGAAATGCTATGACGCCCATGCGAAACGTGCGCGCTTTTGCCCACACCCCCCGGCTCCGGCGCGATCGCAGCGCCGCCGCAGCTCCGTGACGTCAAGCTCGCGTGTCGGTGTATACGTTCCCCTCGGTACTCTTCCATTCCTCCTCCTCAAGAGTTGCGCTCTAATTCGGCGTTACAGGGAGTTGCAAATTGCTTTGATTTTTTCTTCTTTAGATTTTTTGCTTCTAAAGACGTATTATTTCTAACAACGTCAAAGACAGCCGTTCACAGCGTGTAGCCAAGGCAAAACGATAGCATCTATAAAGCTAACGTTTCGCCTTTGTAATGTATAAACAATATTATATTTAAGCTAATGTTAGAACTCAAGATATATCTTTAGGAATATATGCAGTACCTATACTTTTGTATGCAGGCTCTAGTGTGAGCAAAATACCAGTACCAGTTCTGGCCTTTGACAATAGGCAGAAAGGCAATCGCAAAATTTAAGTTTTCTGTCATTGCCTATTATTAGCACCCAGCTCGAAATAATGTCCCGTTCATGACAAATGCTGCAGCACTGTTGTTTTTTTTTGCAGGCAGCTTCTAGTATTGCAATTCCTCGTTAAGATTGATCCAGCGAATATGGATACCCCGCTATAGACAAACCTCTTGGGACGAAGGAAGCAAATACTTCTATTTTGTCTCGTTATTATGGGCGATAATTTGGGGAGCGAAGGTGTTCATATTAAAAAGACAGCACGAATGATTTGTTTCGCGTGCATGTTTATGCGGCCGGAAGTTTGTCAGCTCCAATGGACGTCTAGTGTCTCAGCTGTAGATGAGCAATTTAGCCAGTGCCTTACAACCGCTAGTCTGGTGTCTTTGACCTGCATCAAGCAGTAGTGATACACGACCGCACGCCGGTACGACGCTCATCCAGATCGAAACTGGCAGGCGTGGCGCTTGCAGGGGTGGGCACTGCCGCTCGAGCTTTCGCTCCACGTGCTCCGTGCTGGTTTACGCTAGCCCACTCTGCGACCGATGAAGCTATGTAGTTAAGTAGATGAAGCTGGACGTGAAATTGGAAGGTGTCTTATGCCTCAATGATTTCTTGTGGAATGAAAAAAAAAAAGCAAACAACAACAACACACACACACACACCGCGCAACTATCGCTTTGTTGATCACAATCAAGTGAGGACGCTGTGGTAGAAATTTTCACAATGAAAATAGGCTCTCGATGAAGGTAATAGAGTCACGAAATAAAATAATATAAAGTACGAAATTAGTCGCTGTTTGTTTCCTCCCTTTAAAAGTATATACTCCTTGTTCTTGGGTGCTATATATATTAATGTTAGCGCAACATTGAAGCTGCCGCTACAGTGAGTATTAATCTTGCCATTGCCTTGCTTGCAATTCGGTATAGCATTGACCCGTGCAAGATTTAACACAACTCACGCGGATGCCTATATTTCCTTCGACATTAAACGCTGCCACGCGTAGTGTTCCACGCTAAACTTAAAATAAATGTACAGAGTGAATGCTTTTTTGGTGAAGGGTTCATGTTACTACATGTGCATGTTGCACATTTTTGTACGACTGCAAGGAAATACTAACACGTGGTTTTACCCGTAGTGCTACTTTTTTACCGTGGAGTTCGGACTGTGCAAGCAAAACGGCGAAATGAGAGTGTACGGCGCCGGACTCCTGTCTTCGGCTTCTGAGTTGCGAGTGAGTATGTAGTGGGCAATCTGCTTTCTACAGCATTTCGACTAACGCATCTAAGGCACTTTAGACTTTAGACAATAGCGCTGCACCATACTACAGAGGTGCGAGCAGGTGGTGAAAGTTTACAGTAAACGATTCAAATATTGAACTTATATCTCGTTCAAAAAAAAAAAGAAAAGCAAAAACCTGTTTTGGGCAATCTACACAACCACTTCGCAAACGATGCACGCATAGAGAGAAGGTCTGGTGACAGACGGCGTATGGCGCGTCGAGGGAGCGCCGGCCGAATCGGGTTCTCGAATCGAATCGGGCAAGATCATCTGCTATCAACACGTGCATCGTCTGGTGAAGTGGCTGCTTAGATTTCTCAGAACATTTTTTTTGTGATTCGTTTCTTTTGAACGAGGTAAGCTGATTTTTTGCTTTTTTCACTGTAAACTTTCATCACATCCTTACACCTCTGCAGTAAATCGCAGCGGAACCATGATAAGTTCCAACAAAAATGTTGATTGTAATTTGAGGCGAAACTAAACGTAAATAACTCGTAACAACACGAACAATGCGGTGTACATATATAATTTTGAAAGCAAACCCGAGAGTGAACAAAAAAAAAAAAAAGATTACACAAAGGTATATTAGCACGTGGATACAGCTTGGTTAAATGTAATTACTTTAGTTCTGAAGATTGGTCGTAGGGAATGTTGCTTTATTTTTGAACAAAGCCTTATAAACGTTTAGAGATAGGTAAAATATTAAGTGAGAAATGGCGCAAACCAGTGGCGTCACGAGGGTCAGCGGCACCCGGGGCGGTAGCCCGCCGCGACACCCCCCTCGCCCCCTCGCTCTCGCGTGGCCCGCGGCGACACCCCCCTGAGCGCCGCACCCGAGGTGGTCCGCCCCCCCCCCCCCCCCCCTTGTGACGCACCCGAGGTGGTCCGCCCCCCCCCCCCCCCCCCCTTGTGACGCACCCGAGGTGGTCCCCCCCTTGTGACGCCACTGGGGCAAACGCAGCTGCACAAGTTTCGCTCTTGAGCTTGATTGACAATTTCTTAATTCAAAATAAATGTTACTGCTCAACCAGTACGTTGCTCATTATCGGCAGAAATAATGGCAGCCACAATTAATTACTTTTTTATTCATGATACCTTGCAAGGTCATTAAGAGCATTGTGTAAGGGGGTACATTTAAACAGATACATAAATAAAGAACGGGACGAATAATAATAAACAGAACTAGATTTCAGGTGTCAGTCATATACATACAGCACAAGATAAGATGGCTTGTGCTGCATGTATATGAAAACTGTTAAGTCGCGCAATTAAGGATATATTTAGAAATCTTATTTTTTCAGAAAAAAGTAATTGTTTTTATAGATGGCACTTTCTAAAGGAACGAAGATTCCACGTTTTTCCCGTCAGTTACCTACTTGCTAATGACTTAGACTTTTTGAATTCTGCATCATTTTGTAAACATTCTGGCATAACTAAACTAAAATATTACGTGTTGTAAAATTTTTTTCAGCACGCATTAACGGACAAGGCCAACATTCTTCCGTTTGACCCCGCAGTCACCATCAATCAAGAGCCTATAATTACAGACTTTCAAGAGGCCTACTTCTACACAGACAGTTTTAACGAGGCCAAACTTCAAATGAGGTAATTGCCCGATGCACTCTTATATTACTCACCGTGAATTCTACAAGTAATTTTTAGATAGGTCGCTTGTCGTTTTTTTTTTCAGAGAAGGATATTTTTATGGACTTTTTACCAACATAAGAGCTGTGCGCGATGACAATACAATATTTTTTCAGAATTCAAAAAAAAAAAAAAAGAAAGATGTGCAAAGGTTTAAAATTGTTGGTTTTTATGTGCACTGGTTACCCGAGAACAAAGTTTCAGGAGTATATTTTGAAATCTCCATTAAGTGTTCCAGAGGCTCGGCGTAAACCTCTATCAGCGTATAGGTTTTGTAAATTGCTTAATACACCTTTCGGGATTATACTGCCTATAACATCTGGGGTGGTGTAGCCCTTTATTAAAAAGTAATACAGTTTTATTTCTAGAACTATTTCATTTTAAGCGAGATGATCTTAATTATTATTAAACAGGAGACATCAAATTAGGGATTATCTGTGGTTCATACGCATACATATTGGCTGTGCTCAATAGGTAAAAATATTAATCACAGCCGAAGACCGAAACATCCTCACGCCGTGTGATTACCGCTAGCATTAAGAAAAATGACGACCTTGTGTTTCAAGGTATGAAATTAACAAGTCCGTAAAGAATATGTTTTTTTCTTGTTATGCAAAGGCATTAGGACGACGTGATTTGCCACGGATATATGTGAAGCACAATTTTGAAGATATGAATCTCCAGGATGCATATTTTCTAGACCGAAAGGAATGAAACAAAGTTCACTTAAATAGAAGAGGCGATTTATCCTTGATAACATTATCGGCAGCAGTTGACTTCAGATCCCAAGTACGACAGGGCAATGAAAAAAACATTTAGCAAAACTTACAAATTACTTTTATAATTTGTTTTTCTACGCTGGAACATTACAACTGTTGATGTCTGGTTGTCGAAGCTGGCCATAGCAGAAATTAGATGTAAGAAGACTAAATTTTGCTCTATTCTATTTGATGGCAAATCTTACATGCCAGATCTAAATTTCAAAACTAAGACGGACACGTGTGAAAAAATTATGGCTTAAAGAGATTTAGTAGTGAGCACTCTTAAGCAAAATTTTTTTTTCTTATCGGCTCCCGCCGTAACCTCATTGGCCATGGGAGGTAAAAAGATGCTTAGGACTCCCGAAGCCTTGTGGCTCATGAGCTGTCAGTATGTGACACCCTGGGACTACCAAATATTAAACAAATGTATTTTATTTTATTATACCTTTTCAGAGAGTTTGCGAAGACCATCAAGCGTCCCTTCGGTCTCCGCTACAACCCGTACACCCAGACCGTCGACTTGCTCACGAACACTCGAAAGATCGCCAACATCGTGAGCGAACTCAAGGGGGACCTGTGTATCGTAACTAACGCCCTGAGCAAGCTCAAAGTGTCCGAAAGTGAGGCTCCAAACCGCTAAGCTGGTGCTCTTGTTTCATTTGTTCCGTTACCCTACTGGAAGAAACAAAAACAACAACAACATATGCACCAAGACAGTCTATGGAATCTTAAGTGTCTGTTCTCCCGCAAAGCAAGTGGAAGAGCCAATCGCCACAATCTATGGATGGTGCGCGGCGAATTACGAGGCTTGAAATCTGTTTAGATCTAGAGGAAACTTAAACCAGACATCGCTGTGACACTGAGCATGGTGAAACATCATACCCAATGCTGAAGCATGACTGCTCTGTTAGGTCTGAACATATTATCAACCTCGTTATTCGCACAGCGTCCTTCGTAAATTGTAGCGATTGGCTCTTCCAAGTACTCTCCGGGAAAGTGGACAGTCAAGATTTTACAGGGCCGGTACACACCCTTGCAACCAACTATAACCGACTCCGACACGATCGGCTCGTAGGCCCCTGACAACCGCCATCGCTGCTGCACGGCCCGTCGTGAGCAGTGACAAGTGTCTTTAAAAAAACGGTTCTGTCGAAGTAGGTCGTAATCGGTCGCATGGGTGTGAGCCAGCCTTTGGACTGCACGATCGATATCTCATATTATTATATTAAAAAACCATGGGACATATTATATGCGAAGAAAGCACAGGTAAATTTGATGTTTGGCCGGGTCTGTCTGGCACACTTTCCTTCTCAGATGGCCCCTAAAGGTCATTGGTTTTCTAGCCATGTTTAGTAATTTTACAATTAGCGATATTTTAGTTAAATTTATGAGAGGCACAGCACCGAAAACATTTTGTGCGTGTTTTGTGTATAGTACGCACATACACTCAGAGAAATTCCTGCACGTCTATTTACTCAAAAAACACTCGAAGAGCCAATCTCTGCGATCCACGAAATCAGCTCAGTGAATGATGAGGCGGAACATCTGTTTAGACCTCAAAATGAAGTCTAAGCTGTGGCATTCCGCAATGCAAGCATGACGCTTTGTATTACTGATTCCACAGTGCACACTTCATTTTTAGGTCTAAACGGATGTTCCGCCTCATCATTCCCTGAGCTGATTTCGTGGATCGCAGAGATTGGCTCTTCGAGTGTTTTCCGGGTAAGAAGACGAGCAGGCATTTTTTAGAGTGTAAGGTATAGAAGGTTATTTCAAACCTATTACAAATGTGAATTCCGCTGATAAACTTACATCGCTTTTAGATTTCTTTCATAAGGATATTTCATATAGTATTTTGAGATATGGATTGTATGAGTGCATATGATTGTTTATTCTCAATAGGGTAAATTATGTCTGGGATTACAGCCACTGAACCATTGCTACAATACCCGTATGTGTCGTCAACAGAAGTGTTTGCGCTCCATGGTAAAGTATTTTTTGGATGAAAAGTGGCTAGTAAAAAATTTTTAAACTGCAGAAGCACCTGTTTATGAACAAGCAACAACTGGAACCTTAAGGTCACCTTATGATGCGGCCATACAAGTTTTGAGAAAGTATAGGATGAATATAAATTACAAGGAGCTGGAACTAGAAAGTGCACTGGATCGTGAAGTATGTAATTTAGATTGACGAAATGTTAGCGTAAAATTACTTTTCCGGCGACTAGGGCAATGTGCTAAATGTTGTCGGCCTAACGGTCAGCGCGGTTACTAAAATAAATGTTCGAAGCAACCAGGAATGAACATGAATGTCGTGTAACAGTGTTTTAATTTCTTCTTCAGCCGGCTATAACCTCCTGTAATAAGTTGGTGTCATTTCCCAACAGATAACATCGGTTATACATTAACTGTTGCTAAACCATCCATATATACTGTTACTTTTTGTTGAGTGTATTTTTGGGAAACGTAGGAACACGAGTGACTGTTACGCACACTCTTTGTGTTAATATTTAGTTGCACTAAATAAAAAAGGAAGCCACATAATACGAGAAAGGAAGTATCAACATTGTTTCAGCGTACTGTTTATGTTGTGATCTCTACCAATTCGCAATTGAAAGCATGGAGTCGTGATTAATGCGGACAAATGCGATTAGATAGTCTTTCGAAGAGCGCCATCGCAGCGTTTTAATTGTTTTCATGGTGCAGGTGCGGCTTCAGTTTAGCGCACTGCGGAATGTAAACTTCTTTTAAATGAATTGGTAAACATATATCCATGAGAGAATAATAAACAATATATTATTATATAATTGTATTAAAACTGTAACAAGCCTAAAGTCTAGATTTGTGCAATTTTATCTAGGGAAAAATGTGTACTTGCAGAGGTATATATTTGTAGTTAATTTCTTCACAATATTACCGAATTGTGAAAATTTATTTCTTTGTAGTTTATTGCGTTTTTAGTTTACTGACTAATAACATATATTGATTTTATTATTTATAGTTTCGTAGAAGTCGTAGAGTGTCATTGTCTAAAATGAGATCAATAAAATATCACAGTGTGACACTCACTTCCTCCTGTTGTTTTATGGGCGTGTGATTGGTTATTGAGAGTGATCAGCTAGGTAGGACAACAATAGTTAATGGTTTATGTAGATGTCGCCTTACGGAAAGTACACGCTTAATTGTTTTTCAAGCACAAAACACGGAATCCAGCTTTGAGAATTTAGTTTCATAACACCAAATATTTTAAAAATAAGTTGCTCAGGTATGTTAGTGTTACACCCATATGGCAAGCTATTGTATGGAGCAAGAAACATAGCTATTGACGATTACTTTCTATTATAACTCTTCAGGACAAACAACATTTAAAAGCCTTTTTGCTAGAAATTATTTTCCCACAATTTGTGTTTAAAGGAATGGTTTAGTTTGCTATATAGTTCCAATTATCCTTAATAAATAACCGCAATATGCTTCCGCTCTTTTGAATCCTCGTGATGCAGTATCTTCCGGATTCCCAATAGTTTTTGCGTCATCTTTCTAAAAAAAATATTTTTAGTTTGTTACGCGTGTATAAACTCCTTCAAAACGAGTTTTCGTAATAACCATATAGCTTTTTTTCAGTAAACGACATAGAAAGAGTCAAGATGTAAACTATAAAAAAATGTGTATTTTCACACGCAATACATTAATTTAAAAAGGAAGGACTCTGGAAATAGAAAAATTATTTATTCGGGATAATGGTATCCACTAAGGCGGACGTCGGGTTACGAGTGTAACGTTTCGATTAGAAGGTTAATTAACTGAAATAAACTAAATAACCTTCGAATAACAATTTTAGTTGACATATTTCAGTTAGAGATGTGTTGACCATCGCCAAAATATTCCGTAGTAGTTGTTAGGATTCAGACAACTTAATTTTGCTCTGCTCAATTCTCTCGCAAATTTAATTTTTGAGCTGACCATATTAAAAAAAAAATACATAAAAATACAAAAAAACAGAAAAAAAAGGACCATCGGAATTTTCATTTGAAAGCGACGTCAGCCTCCGCAGTGGGCAGCCGTCAGTAGATTACCTCAGCTGTGGACTTCCTGCGGAGGGGCGTACATGCAGTGTTTATGTTGTGACCTTTCCACATTCGCAATTGAAAGTATAGAGTCGTGATTAACGCCGGCAAATAAAATTATATAGTCTTTCAAATAGCGGGATCACAACGTCTTACTTTTATTTGAATGGTGCAAGTGAGGCTTCAGTCTAGCGCGTTGCGGAATGTTAAATACTTTTCCACAAAGTAATATACAATAATTGCAAAATTCACCACAAAAAATATTTTTTGCCTCTGTGTTTGTCCTGGAAGATTGTATTGATATGCAATTTTGTTACACTTGTTTCCAAAATGTTTTTGCCACAAAGAAAAACAAGATAGAACACAAAGGAACATATTTATAAGATAACGATAAACAAGATAACAGGATAGTATGAATAAATGTATTAAGACGGCAACATACGTTACGTCTAGATTTGTGCAATTTTATCAACGGGAAAATGTGTAATTGCAGAGATGTATATTCGTAGCATCCGAGTTCGCCCGAGCGGACTCTATGGCCAGGCGGCCTGGCCCGCACCTCCGCGCCTCGCCGGGCCGCTGCGTGCGCTGCGCTGCCACGGAGAGCGCTTCTCTGGCGGTGATTTTTGGAACCAGGCCGCACGAGAGCCAATAGGAGCCTCGTTCCTTGATGACGCGCCAGCCAATGAGAGCACAATCCATCAAGGATATAGCTTCACTTCTCTCCTTTGGGACATAGGAATTTAACTACCGTTTGGCGCGGATGATGACGTCGGCTCGCTCCATGGGACCAGTTAATGCTTTCGCATTAAAAGTTGCTCAGGCATTACCTCCATTTGGCAAAGGAGTATGAAACGTGAAACGCAGCTGTTGAATAGTTTCTATTAGTAACTCTTCAGAAAACACAACATTTCAACGATATTTTTTGTCTGTAATTTTTTCCAATTTCTGTTTAAAGGAATGGTTTACTTTACTATATAATTCCCATTCCCCTTAATAAATAACGGGAATAGGCTTCCGCTTTTTTGAATCTTCGAAATGCAGTCTCTCCCGGATTCCAAATATATAATTGCGCATCTTTCTAAAATATTGTTTATTTTTTTTATTTCTTACGCGTGTATAAACTCCTTTTAAATTATTTATTACAGGGTGTCGAACCGGAACCGAACCGAACCGAAAACCGGAACCGAACCGGTATTTTTTCCGGAACTGAACCCGAACCTGAACCGTTATATTGTTATCGCGATGAACCCGAACCGGAACTGAACCGGAAAAAAAATAACGGTTACCGGCTCATGTCAAAACGGTTCGGCCACGCGCTGTTGACAATGAGTGTGCTATCAATGCCATTTGTTTTTTAAGTGCCGTCAACTGACACATACCTCGCTTACATATTTTTCTTCTCCACTCAGTCTTAGGAATATAAACGCTGCATCCATGAATCTTGACAAACACTGCATCCATGAATCTTGACATAGGAACCAGCATTGCGCTGGTCGCGGCTTGCACGGAAAAAAGAGAATTGGAAGGCAGTGCAAAAAAAAAAAAAAAAAAAAAATCGCGTCACGGGATTTCAT